CCTAGACAAATACGAAAGGCAATTTCTGAGCCATAGTAAGAACTTCAATGGAATTGCAGCAAATCCCTTCTTTCTAAGCATTTAAAGAGCAAGGAAAGCAACAGTGTGCCATCGTTCATTTTAGTACATTGCACTAAATGCCTTGATAATCTACAGAGAGGTTTAAGTATCAGGAGCCTTTCAAGAAAAGGCTTCATGTCACCAGCCTGCTTGACATGATTCCAGAAGGTACGCGAGGGGTCATCGCTGCCGGCACATGCAAGCCAAAACTCAGTAAGTCATTACCTAAATATCCTTTACATCTCATAAAACCAACATCTTTTCCAAGTATGAATCATAAATCTTGATATGTAGGAAAACACCCTCAGCTTTGCCTCAGCTGTAACTCACGTAGAAGCGCCATGCCAGAGCGCTCTCCATCCACACAATTCAGCATGAATGCTGCATATTAATCACGGCAGTGATAGGCGATGCATACAGGTTAATTTAATGGATTTGGAAAGTCACTCAAGTTTCAACAGTTATCACAGAAGTATGTTTTAATTACAGACATTGGGCAAGAATTTGTGATGATCAACTATGAACATCTTCTTTTCATCCTTTTGTTTTAAACTAGATTTTAAAACAGAAGATTTCCCTGACGTTTTTATTGCCCAAGTTTCACCTTCATAAGTACTGATGATTTTAAGGTTGAAGTAAGTAACAGCGACAACTCTGTATTGCAGTTGAACAAAACAATACCGTACTGGCTTTTTGTTTCAATTAAAAGCGAACAACCTTTTTTACTATCATAAAGTTTTATGGAAATAAAATAATACCATGTGGGAGCATTCTAAATCCTACCACTTGGCATATTCATTTAGGACAACAAAATAATGTTTCTGGGAAGCCACCCGTACACACACTGACATATACCAGCAGTTGAACAAAGGAGATGACAAACTAACTACGGTGCATCAACTGATGCCTTAATTCTTAGGGAGCCAAAATCTTCATCCTCATTTTAAGATGAATTAACTGATACTATCTGCTTTTAAAATCTGGGTTACGTGTCTTTGAAGCACAGTGTATCTGGAGTTTAACTCCCTGCTCCATTTTGTCTTTTTTTTTTGCGTACTCAGATACAATTGGGTTTGCATTAGAGCTGTCACTCACTCTTCAGCTCTCAACCTGTGCAGCTGAACAACTGAATTAGCTCCCAACAGGAGATGGACAGGAGAATGTGTATCCATAGGTAAGATGATCCTTGGATGGAGAAGCACAGTTACGTTAACTGTCTTCAAAAGACAGACGTTAGAAAATCAGAACTCTTACACTGATTATATTGCAACTTACATGGGGGAGGTCACCAATCTGAAACCTGCAAAGGGGCAACAAGAAGTTCCTAGCAGGACAGCTCATCCAAGCTGGACATCTGAATTTCCTGTAAAGAATTTGCTGGTAATTAAGGCATCCTCCTGAGGAAGCAGTCTTTGATGCTAAGGATGGACTAGGATCCCAGGAAGGGAAGATGCAGGCTTCCTGCCTGAGTAGCAGACATTATTGCAATTTTTTTCCTCCCAGGAGTTTAGGACACAGCTATAAACTAAGTTATATTAAAAGCTACACATTCAATTAGGGCTTTTTATTACTATTATTTTCTTCCTGTCCAGTGATTTTTCTTCCATTCTACTAGTTTTACTCTGCTGACAGGTGGCAGTCACCTTTGTTCTAAGCGCAAATTTAGAGACATGGAGCTCTACTGCTGCCCCAAAGCTTTTGTACTGTGCAAGGAATGAAGCTGCGCCTGCTTTTCATGGAGGACTTATTATGAATACTATTCTGTCAGGCAAAACCCAAGCGTCTTGGCTATCATGAACTAGCATAGCCAGTGAAAGTTAACTAGATCAGAAGCAGGTCATTTCACTTACTCTATGACCACAAAACATTTTTGGAAGTACTCTGTCTCAGAGTAGTTGGTCACAGTATAGATGCTAGGAGATGATGATGCTCGAAGCTTCTCCCAGCCTAGCACTACACAGGTGATGTAGCAAGAGCCTGAGGTCTGCTCCTGAATTACACCAGGTAAACACCACTCCAGACTGGCTCTTCACACCAAGCAGTGGTCTGAAGCACTGAAGGCTGGGAACTATATTTCACACATGACCACAAACTTTCTCATCCTACATTTTACAATTGCACATGACATTCTAGGGCTGTGGTCCAAAGAAATCAAAAGGCCTCTGACACTTAGCACTTCTTTGAGCCTTAGAAAATATCAACGGTCTAGGCAATTTTGCCATCCTGGTCACTTTACACAGTCTGGTACATCCAGAGATTGTTAATTAACACATTTGTGGAATACCGTAATTTTACACAACACTTTGATTTGACCCGTGTCAAAACCATCTCATATGTGGCCCTATGCCCACATAATGGAGACGGCTGGCTAACTATGTTCATCAGTATTTTCTTTTTAGCCTTTAAAGGCTGATTAAATGCAAAACAAAAGCTTAATTTAAACTTGAACCCCAGGTTCTTTCCATTTTGTTTGTGATTAGGTTCCAGAGTGCTACCAAACTCGGCACTCCCTACTTCTCACCTGCTAGAACAAAACCAAGTTGTGTGAATCAGCTTCATCACAGTTTACAGAAACACAGTTAAAGCAAGCACAAAGGCAAATTGATGTATTTTCAGAATAAGGAACTTTACCTTGAAAATGGAGTGGGATGTATGCGTATATAAACCCCCTGAAATGTCCTGTTCCAATTTTAGTCTTTTCACGTGTATTAATATATACACATGAAGCAGTTTTCCATTAAAATTGCATTCCCCAAAGCAGCAGAGAATAAAAAAATCATGTACTAAATTAAAACAATATATTTGCAGACTGGAATACGTCCTGCTACACATAGTCTAAATTTACCTTATGTGTAGATACAGCCGAAGGTAACATTTGCCAATTGAGTAGATGTCTACTCCACTGCAAGAATCAGTAATCACACTCAATTTTTAACTATTTTGTAAATACCATCAGTGCAGATCTGGGTTTTGTGCTTCCAAAATTACCATAAAACACCTGTGTTAAGTGATCTACAGGTGATTTCTTTTACAATACTTCAGTTACAAGTGTACAAGAGACCCTGTTTTTCCAAACCAGGTAACAAAAACTTCCATGTTTATGCATTCTACTCAACTGAATGTCTTAACCTCAAGAAAACAACAGCTACACAGAAGTCTAAATTCATAGGACTGAATTCATAGTCTCAGAAATCTTCCTGTATTTGTACTTTAGAAGTGTCATACAATCACTATAAAATGAAATATTATTCTTAAAACACCATCAGTGGATCTGGGTTTTGTGCTTCCAAAATTACCATAAAACACCTGTGTTAAGTGATCTACAGGTGATTTTTTACAATACTTCAGTTACAAGTGTACAAGAGACCCTGTTTTTCCAAACCAGGTAACAAAAACTTCCATGTTTATGCATTCTACTCAACTGAATGTCTTAACCTCAAGAAAACAACAGCTACACAGAAGTCTAAATTCATAGGACTGAATTCATAGTCTCAGAAATCTTCCTGTATTTGTACTTTAGAAGTGTCATACAATCACTATAAAATGAAATATTATTCTTAAAACAAGCAAGAACTCCACTTCTTTCACAAATGCAATTTATGTCTGATGGGAGTGGCTCACATTGTTTTCATCAACCGTAATGACACTGATCTGTCAGTAAATATTATAATGTATGACTATTGCATAAATCAATTCCTCAAACTTCTATTTTAATGTATACATAAATATCACTACCTAACAGTGTGAAATCAAAATTAATACACATTTCTGAAGCCTACACAAAATGAGAAAAAGCTCCAACTATAACCACCCAGAACACACAATCAGTTGCGCCGCTCTTCGCTCAGGATGGTTCCTCGGGCTGGCATTTGGTACCTAACACCGTTTTTTGAAAAGAGTCTCTCTCAAAGGGTGCTACTGCAAATGTATTTGAGAAAGATATAAACCCCTGAAACCTATGCAACTTATCTGCCAGTATCTTTAAATATGCAAGGCAATCTTTTGTTGAAGACGAAATTTCTCGAGAGCTCCCTTTTATAAGTGCTTCAATATTCAATTACACAAACACTGTATTTCAGGGGGGAAAATTTCTTACAAATATTTAATTAGTTAGAACCAGGCTTTGCTGTAACCCTACAAATGAGAAACTCATACTTTTCATGCTGCTGTATGTTTTAGCCCCTCTGGCAAAAAGCATACATACACTTTGAGGCTCTTTACAAATGCAATTACACAAACAACCTATATTTTACTGCCCACTAGCAAATGACACTGCTAAGGCCAAGCCAAAACTATTTTAGTCAAACAGTCTTAGACTAGATGCTGACTTACAGCTAGACAACTTTAGCTTGATATCTAGCACTAAGAAAACAAGAGGCAACAGATCACAACATGCAGCAAGAAAGCAGAAAAGCATTGAGTGGAACTTGACTTAAAACATACCTCGTGGGAAGGGTCCAAAGTTCTGCACACTTCCACTTCTCATGAGGGAAATCCAAGTGCAAGCAGATTTTAATCGTACACTGTGACTGGTAAATGGTTAGCTTAGCTGCTATGACCACTTGTCACCATACTACATAATACAGTACAATCATTCACAAGGAAACAAGAACTGATGTTACAAGCAGAGATGAAGAAGTGCACATGCGGGGCTGGGTAAGGAGGCATGCAGTAAGTCTGCGTGAACCCTGCCTAGACACTGACAGCGCTACCTTTCATCAGTGGCCTCTTTTTATTTTCAGAGGTTATTTAAATGCAGTTTAGCTTTTAAAAGAAAAAAAACACAGAACTTGATTCTGGCAAGGCCGGCACAGCTCCTGCTCTCAGCAGATGGCTCAGCACAAGACGACAGCACACTGATCGTTGGGCCCTACACGGGTGAGCCAACGTGAGCAATAGCAGGGACTGCAGGAAGCTATGGAGAGCACCAGAGAACATACCTTCTTATGAACAACGGAGGAAGTGGAATTAATTGTGCTCTCGTCACTATGCATCATGACCAGTTCAGGGCTGCTCTCATCCAGGACCTCCTGCATGCTGCTCACACTGCTGCTCTGACTGCCTGTGCTCACAGACATACTTGGGATGGAATGGTTGCTGCCCAGACTGTCCATCTTCCTACTCAGGTTTGATCCATGCTCACTGTCCTATAAGACAAGGGGCATCAGTTACAAATACTGCAGGAGATCACCTGCCCAGCACGTGCCTGCAGTGCCCAAAGTTTGTTTTAAAGGCAACTCTGCAGAGTTAAAGGTTTTTTTGCTCATTATTTTGGCAGCTACGTTTCTCAAGGCTGCTTGGGTTATGAAATACTCCATACAGGGCAGTTAGCTTTTGCCTTTTCCCCTGCAATCTTATTATACCAGGCTTCAAGCCAGTTTTTTTCCATATATCAGTAAGTCTGGGCATGGCTCTTGGCTTGAATAGGAGACATCCAGGAATAATGGATGCCTGGTGGAAGGAGTCTCATAATTAAAAGGAGCAATCTAAGTTTGTATTAAAACAATGTTCCAAGTCAGGGTATGCTACAACACATTTTGTGAATCAGAAAAGATGCAAGACAATGAACCCATTTGTTTACGATTTGATAACTATCACATGGTGCTTAACAGGTGTAGAGGTTTTAACCTCCATGTCCCAAGCAGTCAGCAATTACATTTTGTCAAGCTAAAACCCCCTTTAACCTTGTGTTTTCAGCCAAGATAAAGTCTTCATTCACCTTTAAGCAGCTGACTCAGAAGAGCCTGCATTATTACAGTGACTAAAACTGTTGTGACCTCTACTTAGACATACATAAATAAATATTCCTTGTGTAGGACATATTTTTGATTCTACAGACAAGTATCAGGAGTTAGCATCCTTTTTTCTTGTTGCATACTTATACCAGCTCAGTAATCCCAGAATACGTGCTTAATCTGGACTGACTGAGAGAATTTATGGAGTCCTTTGTAATTAACTAGTGGCACTGAAGAGGCTTGCAAGAAGCTCACAGTGAGGACTGAGAGCTCTGAACATCCTTCAGCTCCTGGTCCGAAATAGCCTTGATTCACCAAAATGAATGGCTTGCTGCTGCACCCAGTTTGTCCTGGCCTCCAAAGTGATCTTGGGGAGAATTACATTACAAATCAATTAACAGGGTACTCATTTTATTGGAAACCAACAGAAAGGTAAGATTGACAGACTTGACAGATTTGTATCTGATTGTGTGATTATTTTTTAAGCAATCAGCAGATCATTCAGACCCTGTGTAAGAGCACTTAAAATCCAAAATACAAAATAATACTGTTTTACAGAGAACATATGCACATGAGAAGATGCTTATATAAAGTTGCAGAAGAAATAACATAATGAAGCATCTGAGATGAGGATATGGCTATGTAATTAATGAATGTATATGCACAAAGGACAGAGATGAGATTGCATATGCAACCTTAACATTGACTTCCTGACTTGAATACTTTTCAGATGACTTTAACTTTCTTGCAAGAGCTCTGAGAAAAGCATTAGTAGTATTTTGAGTGTTAAAGATTTGTAATGCTCCTTTTCCACCTCAGAAAGTCTAAGGTAGAGAAAGGAACTGCCTTGTGGCATTTACAGTTGAGCAGCTTCTCTTAACCAGTTAAGTAGTAACTGAAGCAAGCGCTATGTTTTCCTTTCTCTGCCAAGTTAGTGATACACACGAGCATACAACCTCCTTTCGTGGTACACAAGCTCAGTGGTAAAATGCAGTGCAGAGCATGCTGTGCACATGCAGAGCGTGAGCTTCATTAGAGTGTTAATTCCTAGAGATACAATCTCTTTTCTTCCCCCTTTTTGGAGAGGTGGGAACTGAAGGAACAGAAGATACATCTTGGAGTTAACTACTACCACATGTATCCCACTTAGCTGTTGAGCTTGGATCTGCTGAACAGTCAAGTGGGAGACACATTCCCTTGAGCCTTCCTACCCTGTCACTCTCCTAACAGCTTTTCACACGTAGGTAGACAAAGCTTGAAGGTTTCAGTGCAAAAATCTGACAAATCCCCTCTCTCCCCGCCCCAACAACTAAGCTTGAGGTTTAGAAGTTGGCTAGCTGGAGGGTTAGAACAGAAGCACTTTGTAGCTTTAATCACAGTGGTTGCTGTTCTTGCTCCTTCAATGTGAAGAACAGTGCTAAGTGCCAGTCCCCTCCTCCTGTATGCTCTCCTACCTGACACCCAGGCTCACCTGTTTCTTAAACCAGAGCTCTAGTTTAGCCTTAAAGGAATATTTGACATACACAAACCTCAAAACCCAAGTCCCCAAATATATGCTGAGCTTGGGCATGTCACTGCGTATTATCTTGCTACACTGCAGCAAAAAGGAATACAAACATCAATTTGCCTGTCTATTTTTTTGTTGAGAACCAGTCATGGATTTATTTATCCAACGTGCCTGCACCAAATGTCACTAATTTCCATCTAATCTCATCAACTGAAAAATGACTGGTTTCCTTCTCTAAGCCACAGTTAGTGTCAATTATCATACACTGATTAAGTGTGTTGTTTATTATAAGACTTAAACTGAAGCTGAATTTTATGTCTTATATCTTTTTTTCTTTAATATTAAAGCATTTTAAAAAATAAGTCTTACTAATTTGGTGATTTGCTTTTCAGCTCATGATAGGCCAATTACTTTACAATAAAGTTACGGTAATTGGAAAAAAAAAAATTAACATTAATCAAGTGGTCTTGACTGTGATTGATTCAAGACTGAAGAGCTTGGACTGTCAACAGACCCTCCTTCACACAGGCTGGGAGACACAGGCTGTGAGCCACTTCCTTCCCACAGAGAATCTCCCTCTGAAAGAGTTTCTTCCCTAAAGCTTTCAGAAGAAAGGTCACCAATTGAAAAAACCCAGAGTTTTAAAGTTGCCAATAAATGCACATGTAACATCGAGTAAAGGCTACTGTCACTCATTATCCTACACTATATCTCTGCTGATCGAGACGACATTCCAACAACACGAATTGCATCCTCACCTAGGCTGTGCTTGTTCTGCCCCCTTAAGGACAGGAACATCTCACTTGCCCTAAAATTATTTGTAATGGTGCAAATGAGGTAACAAAATAAAAGTACCTCCTCCTCTTCTTGAGACTCGGTCAGTGGGCCATTCCGTGTCTCTTGGAAAAGGATTTTCTTCATTTTCCGGTACTGAAGGTTATCCAATTCACGTACTGCATCTTTTGTCCTTTGTATGAGGTCTATTAGTACCCTTGGTGGTCGGTCGCGGCGAACAAAATCATGCTAAATTAAAGGAAATGAAACACATGGTTTCAGACATGACACTAGTATGTTTGATGTAGAAACAGGGACAACGTGACTTTTTTTAAGAGACACCTGAAATGACAGTTCATATTCAGTAATAGGTCTGTTCATATTCAATAATTAGTAATATCCACTATGAAAGACTCCAAAGACACTCAGCACTAGTTACCTTAACTGTGCTTATCACTACGTCAAATAACCAAACTGATCATGCGACGCGCTACGAGTTTTGAAGCGTAGGCTGCAAAATGTTTTGCTCAAAAGTCAGAAGATCTGCTTAAGCACAGAACTCAGTTAAATGTAGAGTACAGAGGAGTGAGGCAAAAATCACTTCACTACTTGAAACTCGTGTGCGTGTATACACATGCGCACAGGCACATCAGTAGCAGGAGCCGGGCAGCGGATGGAGAGGTGTGAGCCCTGGCTGACTCTTCACAAACTCTCTTTAGTCCTGACTCCCTGATGCACTTTTCTGGCTGAAGTGAAACAGTTTGGACCAGGATCAGGTTTTCTGAGCTCTCCAGGCAACACAGCTAATTCGTCCCTTCCCGAGCTCATTCACTTGAAGTGTACAAGGTACAAGACAGTGCCACTTCAAACCTTACAAAGGCAGAGGACTTCAAAATGAACAAAATGCATGAAGGACAAAGAAGAATCAATCCTGATTATGCAAGACTGCCTGCCTAAGCTACGTGCAAAGGTTTATCCTGCATCTATCTATTCTGATTCATACATAAAACCAGTAAGAAGACTACAAGGTTTATTTACACTTGAAGCATTTGTAGCCAGAGTTAAAGTAAAATTAGTTCTTTACTAACTCCTGCTAAGGATGTACTAGAAGCACAGGTGTTAAGTGCAGACTTAACAATAAATTCTTCAATAGAATTTAAGTACATGATTAAAGGCTTTTCTCTGATTTATCAGATACGTTCTCCTGAATTGTACAACTGGCAGCAGAGTATGAAAGCCTTGCAGCTTTCCCATTTAACCTTTGACTAAAGTAGACAGTCTGAGTATACACTTGCCAAAACCCTACATGGGATCACTACAGCTGGGTATGTTGCTTAATATGTATCATGGGAGATGGCCTGAAGGCACAAACATCATCTGCACATTTCTAGAAACATTAACAATGAAAGAGAGGAATGGGAAAAAAGTTGTTCTCTACCCTGCGATGCAAATGCCACAATGGCCTTTTGTTAGAGAGCCTCAACAGCTGGACCCTACCCGCAAAGAAATTCTCAGGAGGGTCATGTCTGACTGCTTGGCCTCATGCTCTTTCCACACCTGGTGAACTCAGGGTCCCATGGGACAGGGAAAAGCAGCTCTACCCTAGATGTGCTGCCATCCCCTCAAGTTCAAGAGCTAATACATCCACCTGTAACTGAAGTAACCCATACATGAAAGGCAGTCCTCCTTAGAACAGGAGTCTTGCATATAAAAAAGTTGAAAGGATGAGCTTATCATCCTTTTATGATTTGTAAATAAACACGGAAAGTATCATGCCACAGGCTTATTTCTTGTTTTTAGTTGAATTCAAGCTGTTGCGCATTTGAGTATTGCTAATGAGGACAGCTAGTCATTTCAGTATCAATTTTTTGCTAGTTGTGATGGTGTTTATTTTTGAATTATAGCTAAAAGTTCTAAACATCATTTAACGCAGAAGCAAAATGAATAATTTCTGCTCTTCAACACAGATAACCCCCATTTATTTCTCTGTAAACAGTAACAATCTGCAGCTTATCTATGATTAGAAAAAGGGTAACCATCTTTATCTCTTTGTAGATAATTTTTGGAAAGCAGTAATGTATTTGGAACAATGATCCTGAACTTAAATCCATCCTATATGTCCAGTGTCTACTTGTTTATGCATATTCTTTAACGGTGCAAATACTAATTTCACTGGAAAGACTGTGCGCTTCATATTCAAGCACTACTCAAATATTAGAATGAGACCACATGGAAACTGCAGGGCGGATGCACAAAAGTGAAAACCAAACCAAAAGGCTCTTGCATAATGAGAATACAATTTTGACTGCTTACTTGCATTATCTAATTGTATAAATTACATATAAAAGATGTATGCCCCACTCTGCTAGGTACTGTGCAACACTAAGAAACAATGGCTGAAAGGACTTAATTTGTACACTTTCTCCAAACTGCAAGAAAATAACCAAACCGACTCAAAGGGAGGAAGAGGTTAGTCTAAAGGCAGGGAGCAAGTTGGCTGGAAGAGTGACTAACAGAACTCAAGTCTCCTGGGAACATCATGCAAGCTGAGAAAAATAAGGGAAAAGTTTTAAAACAAATTTTATAATTGTTTTTAATTTTAAAAGTGAAAAATATCAGTGAGTTTTTGGTTGTTTGTTTTGTTTCTTTTTTTTAAATTTCAACTGCATTTTAATATCACTACAGTAATTTTACTATTTTCATCTGGGATGGTGAATTGAAACTGAAATAATTTGCAAACATCTCATTTAAAATTCAGTTCCCTTTAAGAAAATGTGGCCACAAAAATCTGCCCTATCCCTTTTTACTGTACACAAGTGAAAAACCCTCAAAAGACAAAAAGATCTTCAATCTTATAATCTAAAAAGCTTTAGGGAGAGCTACTGCAGGAGGGAACATCTAGAGTACTGTTCTGAAAGTCCAAAACCAAATAAAAAGACTGAATATACATGATTTAAGAATAAGATCTCAGCTCCAATTGTTTGCACAGACTCCAACCTAAGGTACTCATGAAATCATATCCTTCAATGAACTTACACTATTCCTAGAGAGCAGAAAGGCTGCCAATCCACATGAATGAATCATTCTGAAACCCACAACATAAACCTATTAGCTGGTCAAAAGACTGTCAGGGTGCTGCAAGCAGAACCAGAGAACAAAACGCTGGTTGTGTGCCACAGCACAGATGTATCACGGGGGGGGGGAATATATATATATACACACACACCAGGTGCCGAAGAGAGAGTACAAAACAAGCTTGTCCATCAGCCTTCACCTGGAGAGCGAAGGCACGAGTGTTAAATATTCTATATGGTCCAGGCTTAAAGCAAGGACAGAAGCAAGCGCAAAGCTAGCTGTTCAGTAAAGAGCGCAGGGTTTCGATTTCTCTCTTCAAGAACCAAGAGGCTCAGAAACATCCATGAGAATGCATTTTACTTCGCTGAAAGAGCAACAAGACAAGCCATAAAACAAAGGCTGAATGGTAGCCTTAGAATAAAAATCAGCATGAATAGGCTGTCAGGTAGACACAGAGCAGCAATCTAACCTACTGTGGAAATTAAGCAAAACACTCAATGGGGCTAGCAATTCCTCTGCTCAAATATTTAAGGAAAAACTGAGTCCTGTTCACCTGGCGTGGAACAGCAGCATGCCATGCAATTCTCACCAGCAGCTATGTACGGCAACCAGAAAAATAGCAGGGCCACTAATCAATTTTAAAGAAAGGAAATACTTAAAAGAAAAAAAAAAAAAGCCTGATGGAAAAGGGGCTGGACAGCATTTCACACATCCCTACCTTCTAACGGAAGGATGCTCCTGAATTTCCTAAACACAAAGCCCTTGGAGTTATAAGCAGTTCCTATACTTTTCAGGTAAACAGAAACCCAATGACTTAAACTGGAACTGATTTATGATTCACTGACAAAACTTTGGCAAACTCTGGACACATCACTCGCAGCACAGGTCCCCCTCCTACACGCTCTTGGCAATTATGAACCTGTACAAGGCACTTTCTAAAATGATACAGTTATTTCCAAAACATATTCCAATTAATTGGGTTCAGTACAGAAACTATTAAAGGGATATAAACAACTTTTGGTTTTGGTGGTTTGATTAGGGGAAGAAGTTAACCTAGGCCTATCCTGTTAGTGCTACTTTTAACAGCTAAGTATGATGCATTATTATAGAAAAGAAGCAAAACACATTACAAGATATTAATGAATCAAGAGGAATTGCTCAAAACCCATTTAGGACAAAGAAATGATTGGAAAATGGAGAGCAGAAACACAGATAGAAATACAACACTGCATGACTAGAGAGAGAAGCTGAAAAGAATGTGATGTCTGGAAATACACAATAAAAAAAAATAGATGGAGAGTATGTTTGGTAAGTAATAATATGAGGAGGGATCTACAGTTGGCACTAATCAATAAATTTGACAGGACTTCTGCACCAGACAGCAGTCAAAAGAACACAGCATCAAAACCTCCTATTGTAACACCACAGAGCAGAGCCAGCCTTTCCCAGCTCCCACGTAACCACACCTGGAGTAACATTTCATGACATGTATATCAGTGCCAGAAACGCCCATCCAGCCAGATGAAATTTAGACAAAAAAAAAAAAAAACAAAACAAAACCAAAAAGTGGATCAGAAAGGCCCCAATGAATGATTTACAAGAATAGAGCAAAACTAAGAGCTGAACTGAGATCAGGCAGAAAGATCAGGAAGAGATACATATTCAAAAGGTATGAACAGATAAAGAATTAATCATTAGCATTACTAGAGAAAAAAGGTCAAGATAACCTTTCTGAACTTCATCTGTGTCTGTCCAAAAAAAAAAAAAAAAAAAAAAAAGTTCACAGCACCCCACACAAAACAAACCTGCTCTGGCCAGGAGATAAACATAGGTCATCCAGTCTCTTCCCATCTCTAATACCCATGTTCCTTTAAATCATCAGCCACTATCTGTAAATCTTTATTAAGAGCTCAATCCTCTGATCATATGGAGTGTAATTCTCAAAGTACCACCAGCTCTGCAAAAGATTTGCTATTGCCTATGCATCTCATGAAGACTGGTTAAGTCTAGATTTTGAGTAGCAATTAAAATGGCTTTTTAGATTTTCTATCACTTCCACAGAGAAAGCCTGTAGCAAATTACAAGCCTTAAATCTTATTGACATTGCATATAAGCTTAGTAGCAAGTATTGCCTGTTACACAACAGAAAAATAACATTTTTCCTTACGGGAAAAGGTAAGCGGGGGGGGGGAAGGAGCATCAGCAAGTTAACAGTTACATTACTTTACACAAAACTGCATAACTGCTCCAAAAAGGTCTTTGCTTTCACACAAGCTGCACCAAGTTACAGTTTCCCCTCTCCCTCTGCCCCTATTCAAAGGGCGAACAGGGTTGCCTCCAGTTTCCTCCCTCATTACTGACTGCTCTTTCAGACACCACATAGTGCAGCCATGGTCACAACTCAGGGCATCCTACTGACAGCACAGTATAGCAGCGAGGCTGGTGAAAATTCCTTCTTCATCAAAGCAGTAGGGAACACGCTCCTAAGTCCTACCTACACAGAAAACTATTGGTTGGAATTCACTTCTGCAGCACGGATTTAACTAACCCAGCTCTGGACCTGTTTGTCCTTGACAATGCTTTCAGTTAAAGTATGTACAGCATTGTCTTGGGGGAGGGAAAAAAAAAAAAAAAACAGTATTAAATCCTTCTACCTCCCTCCTGCTGACAGGTCCTTCCTTCAGCTAAAAAACCTGTTACTCACACTGCTATCCCATGAGGCTTGCAAGTTCTCTAACACAAATGTAACCCCTGCAGAGCTCTGGGGTATAAGAGGAGCAGGGTGCTGGGCTGCTCCCCAAAATAGCTGTCACTCAACAGTGTAACTGTTTTACCACACAGCCTACCTCTACTTTTCTCCAGTAGTTCAACTCTTGAGCACCATGTTATAAAGAGAATTGTGACTGACATAACAGGCAAAGTCAGGAAACAAAGTTAAACAGCCTAAAATACTCCAGCCTAAAATACTCTTCAGAAGACCCCCCAATCGCTATTGATTCAGACGACAGCAAAACCAACAATTTTTTTTTTTGAAAGGGCAAATATTTGTTCACCATCTTTAGAATTATTTTGGTAGACAAACAGATTTTTCCCAAATTTCTGGAAAAGATTTGAAAAATTACCCGTAACAGATCTGTTGATGACGGCCTTTCCTGAGGTATTTTCTGTAAGCAGTAATCAACAAATCCCCTAAAGGAGTCTGACCTGTAAATAAAAAAAAAAAAAGTTCTAAATGAAAAAGAAGCTTAGGATCTGGAATATACGCAAACTTACTAGCGCAAAGCAAAAGAAAAGCCTTGACTAATTTGTTCTTAAGTTCTAGGGCAGAGAAATTAACTGGACTTTTCCAAATCCTGAGTAAGTTGATCCCACCAGTTCTTTCAACAGTTTAAGACTGTTGAAACAAACATGGACACACAATTATCCCCCAACCACAAACTGAAAACCAAGCAAGAACTATGTGTACCAGTCACTATTTTCAATTTTACTTCAACTACTTAAAAATAGATGACAATTAAATTACTGGTAACTCCAGAAATGCACTCGTCGTTAGCTGATGAAATGGCTCTCTGCTCTCTAGAAGCTTCCCACCGTTTGTTAACACTGACTCAGTAAAGCACCTTGATACAATGCTCAGTTCAACAAAACTTTAGGCTATATATGAGCTTGTATCACAACTGGGAAGAAGAAAACTGATCTTCTAGGTGCCCTTGAACTCAAAAGCAGCATAAAAGGCACCTTGCTCTCAAAGCCACAGAGAGCAAAGAGGTGACTATAAACAAACTGCTTGCAATCAAGAATACTGATTCTTAACTGTATTCACAAGTTGTCTCTACTCTGCATTGCAAATTCTGCACAGAAGAACATGGGTATCAGCGTGCAGATATGAGACCAAGTTCTTTGAATCTTGAAAAATGGACAAGACAGAGATGATGAAGTAAGGAAACTGAAGTGGAGTGTTTTTGATAAAATGATCAGCAATGAAACAATTATGCGACTTAAATGCCTAGCAGTGTAACTGGGGGAACTTCACACCTCTCCAGGAGCCTTTGTTTCAAGCCATCTGCAGACTCTGCCAAGCATCACTCGACAGCTACGTTCCACTCTTGGGTACAGAGAACAGGAAATGGGGTAACCCCTTTGCTCCCACAGAATAACAAAGCATTCTTGTATGGAAGTTCAGATTCTGGAACAATCCTATAGCATGGGGAGTATTTACTGGCCACAGAGCTCTGATGACTTCTGAAGTCACTCACTGAAAAAAAAAATCTAATTACCTCTATATTCTGTGTACCTCTCCCCTCCCTTTCTCCACATTTCAGCTGCACTACAATGCTAACAATTCTTCCATCAGGGATCTTTCGCAGCTGGAAACTTTGCTGAGCTATGGCTGGCTTAATGCATCCAAGAATATTTTAATTCCTACAGCATCTACAGCCCCATAATTAACACCTCCACACATTTAGATTGTAGCACAGCCAAAGTGACAGAAGGTCAAAATTGAGCCTGCCTACACAAGAGCATTATTTGAGAACGCAGTCAAATCACTACACTGCAACAAACACTTTTCTTGTCAGACTTTAACCATGCAGAGAGTGTCACAGAGCATTTTCAGGGAAACAAACAAAAAAAATATTATCTGGCAATAGCTCTCTTACCATTCATTTGACTGTAACGTAGGGGAATCATTCTGGGCTATGTGATATAAGGCACTCATTGCATTCATGTTGAAAAGTGGAGGCTTCCTTTCAGCTAGAAAGAGAAGAAAAAGGTGTGATAAGGCAGTCTGGAAAGAAAAGGAGAAAGATATGGAAGTATGAACAAGGGTATCGCTGCTGAATCAATAGCTCATTACTGTTGTCATCACATTTAAGCTAATTATTTTAATATTCTAGGTTAGACTAGGACAACCCCTCAAGGAAAGCTGTTACCCACTTGAAGAGACAATGACGAAATGCAAGGAGAACAGAATGCAAGTTATAAGGAAAAGTTTCCAGTAAATTTTACCTTAACTGCAACATTTCACACCTGACCTGCTAAGGTAAAATCAGCAGAAGCTGACTAAAACAAAGCTTAGACATACAGCATGTCAGGGCTAGGAAGTTTATGTATCAATCCCTACAGATCTTTGATGCATTAAGGGAAAAGAGTGGCTGCCTGTTTCATTTGTCATTGGCAGTCACCTGCAAGTGGGACAGTTTGCCAAATTCACTTGCCAGATATGTCGTTAACTCCCTCTAACTAAAATTATTCCTAGTCCTTGCACCGAGAGGACACCTATCTACAAGCCCCTTACCTTTCAGGAGTGCAGCAGATCTCACACAGAAATTGAGGAAAGCTAGCTTTCACCACCATCTAAGGTCAGTCATGCCAATCAGCCCATGATGCCAGGATTTTAAAGTTCATGTCAGGTCAGAGCAATCACTTGTCCTTGACATGCAGCATGCAAACAAACCACCGCGGTTTCTTTTCTTTAAACACTACTTACTTTCAGCTACACAAGAAATTAAGACATCAGCATTCAAAGAAAGCCAAGTGGTGCTCAACAAGAGATTTCCTCCCACTGCTACCTGACCCCATGTTCAGATATGGAATCATGCAAAGGCAAAGCTCAAAGTTTAAAAAAAAAGTTTAATACTTCTCAAAAAGCTAATATCAAAAAAAGCAAACCCATCAACTATGTAAAATGGCTTCGAGGTTCTTGACTGAAAAGCTCCATAGAAATTCTAGTATCAAGACTCAGTGCCTACGTAGGGTAGAGTAGCATAACATCTATTCTACCACTGTGATTTACTCCTTGAAAGGCCATAACTAGTCTAAATTCCACACGAAAAAAATCAGTGGCCACGCGGAAGAACAAAAGTCTAGAACTTCTGATTTTTGCATTCTTTATATCAAAATACAGACTGTGTCAGCAAGGCATTAGCGCTGACACATGAAATACAATGCTGGAAGTTACTAGTCACTTACACCATTACCGTCTCCACATTAGGGTCAACATTTCCTCCCATTCTGCATGTACCCCTCTGTTATCTCATATATATTTCTGCAGATTAAACATTTATAAATAACTTGCCCTCACAATAAGTTCTTGATGTACTGCTGTTAAGTATAATCCATATCAAGAGTATCTTTGAAAAGAATCTACTCGGCACATGCAATGTCAATATTCAAACTTAAAGTGCACACATCTGCTCTGTGTACCTGCTATCACATCTACATCTGCTTCAGGCTGTGTGGATGCGTATCACTTGCCCTTTGCAGTGCAAACCCTTTTCTTCTCATGTAAAGAACCTGTCCACGTTGATTCATGTCACAAACTTTCAGCTGAGATTGAAGATGTTTGTTTCAGAGAGTGGGGAAGTAAGAAGAATTGAAAATTAAATGTAGGTCCCTTCTGACACACAATTCTTAGGACACCAGTTCCCTTGACGTAATAGCTGGAACAACTTTCTCAAAACCCAGCTTGAAAAATACAGACTAGAAACCATAGTTTCTTCTCATACAAGACTAGAATCCTTTAGTTATTAAGGGAATAACTGAGCAGACCAGATTAACATTACAGCACAGCAGCATTAGTGGCTTCTTCTTGATTTGCCAGTGAGTAGAAGATTTCACTCAACTGTCAGTGCTTTCCAAGTCAGGCTTTTTAAAGAAGAAAAAAAGAAATGACCCAAACACACAACTTATGAGGAATAAGAATCTTCCATTTTTTCAGGACTTCCTAATAAATATTGCAGACAGTTAATTATTCATCTCAGCTGCCAAGTATTTACTCACCTAACTCAATACACGTGATCCCAAGAGACCAGACATCCACCTTTCCATCATACTGTCCCTCGTCCATAGCAAGGATCACCTCTGGTGCCATCCTACCAACCACAGTGCAAAACATGCGGGTTAGGGGATAACAAATCATGACTCCCAGCACATAGCTTAAAATGAGATGGCTTCGTTATCATCTTCAGCAGCACAGCGGACCAGAACTTAAAAGAGCCAGCATGGAGTCGAGTAAAGCCATGCCGAAATGAAACAATGCTTGCCTGCACTAGCAACTCTTCCAAGAGGCAGTTTAAGAAAGGAAAGTAAATAAGAGGCCAACCTGATCATCTTGCTGTTAGCGCAACATGCTGGCACATGGGAGACCCACACCAATCTCAAAGGCATTGTACCTGCAGGCAGACAGCAAGGGCTGGGAGAGTCCTAAAGGCATCACTTTCACTCTCACCAGAGATGGTGGGTTTTCCATTGGCACACCAGGAGAATTTTCCAGCAGATATATGCAGCCTGTGAGTGTAGCTATGAAAGGAACAGGGAAATCCGGAACAGTGGGGAAATATGGTGGTCCAGGATAAGGGATGAATCGGGGCGGGGGGGGAAGAAACAGCGGGCCCAGCCTGCAAAAATTCAGCCTCTTAACTTTTGTTCTTCAATGATGAAGCAGGCTTCCTGCCAAATGGACTTGTTCAGAGGTTGGGCGATAGGTGACCTCCCATCAATGCCTGGGGCGTCTGCCACAAAATAAGTGGAGCATAAAGCTATGCTGGTCCACTATATTAGAAGTGCCAAGCAACTCAAGTGACCCTTACGCAAGTTTCTTCAAAACAGAATTTAAGCAGCTGTGTGACTTCCAGTCTGCATGGCCAGATTAACAGGATTCCCTTTTTGCATGTGGTTGTCTCAGTTGCATTACCTATGGCAAGTGTTAATAATTTTTAAGCCAATGGCATTACAATAGTCGAAACATTAACTGGTGCCATTTCAAAGTGCTGCACAGCCTATGTCTACTCATGGGCACTAGGAATACATTTCCTGAAGAGCTGGACACAGGGATTTTAAGAAAACTGCTTGGTTAATAAAATTTTTATGACAGATATTATTTTCAGGTTGTGAAACGCTGGAAATGGAAGAGAACAGTCTTATAAAATACTGAAGTACTGCAGGCTTTACTCACCAGTAAGGCGTTCCCACAAAAGAATTGGCAGGGGAGACTATAGATGCAGACCCAAAATCAGCTAGTTTCACTTGACCCGGTTCCGTTAGAAGAATATTTCCAGCTTTAATATCCCTTTAAAAGTAAAAAAGAAAAAGTATATTTCTGGTTACAGAAGAATAACTTTCAAAAATTTACAAACACACAGAAGTCCACTAACTTTTTCTCAATTAAACATTCATAAAAACCTGAGAATATTTAGAAGTCTAGTATTACAGAAAGCTAGAGAAGTCAGATACATGGGTTTTTTGGGAACGGAAACCTGGTTGTACCCAAAAAGGGCAGGGGGTGAGGGAAGAGAAGAGAAGAAGAGGAGATGAGCCATGGTTGCAAGGCTGAAGCCCCAAATTGAGAGCCAGGAGATATGTGTCCTAATACCCTGCTGTGACACCTTAAATGATACCAGACATGTTATTTTCATCTTTCAAATGCCCTTGGCTCCCTTAGCTCATCCTTCCTACAACTCTCAGATAATTCATACATTTAAGAGATTAACGATAATGACGCTACTGAAATACAAAAGTCACAAGATATATTCAACACCTTTGGCACCGTAAGTTTCTAAATTCCAGCAGTAAGTGGGATAATTTCTAATTAACTGCCCACGAAATGCTGAGAAAGGTTAACTCGATTTGCATATCTTCCAAGATACTTGGTGATGACCCTGTTCAAAGTTTGAGACAGACTTGTCAGTTATAGCCGAAATATTTTTTCCTTCCACCCATCTGACATAAAAGAAGGAGGACTGCTTTAAGAAATTCAGGTCTACTTACACATTACCAGCTGAAAATCACAATATAGTGAAAGTTCCTTACAACCCTGATACAGCACTTCAATAACAAAGGGAAAATTGCACACCAGGTATGCCACAGATGCCTTTACATGGGCAAAGCTACTTGCTTTTGCAAAAGCAGACCCTCAAAATGAATGGAATATGCGTAAGGGATCCCTGTCAGCCAGGCTGTATACACTATACAGTCTGGAATGTCTCTTTGCCATCTTTTCAAAAAATATCATGTATCTTTACACAAAAAATGCATCAAGAAAAATATCAGCGTTTCTTATCTGGTGTTCAACTCTTAAGTCCTTAAACACCAAAGCCACTTATCAGTAGTAGTAGACCTCCAACACAAACAAGTCACTGTGTATTGCCAAACACACTCATACTCTGACCCTGTGAAAACTGAGCTAATTAGATTAATGGGAGGGGAAACAAAGCTATCTTGTATTTGCTGCAGAGGAAAAGTATACGCTGAATTATTGTACAACAGTTGAAGCATAATGATTTGTACATCAAATACAAATCCAGTATCACTGTAGACCCAGAGAACAGGCAAGCTGAAAGACCCTTTAAATTTAGCACGATACAAACACTGGTGAGATGCCTTTGTCTCCGAAGGGCAGCACACAGGATAGGCAAAGCTGGGATAAAGAGAACCACTGAGCTACGATTTTACTTACAGTATTTCAGCAGCAGAGCTGGAGTAAGAACCTCTATTCCCCCATTCCCAGGACAGTACTGCTTCAAAACTAATATTACGGAATTTTTCGCACATGTGCTACTCAAGTACATCCTGACGTCTTCATGTTTTGGGTCTATGCATTTGTCACTTCTGCTGGAGGACAAGTGCTAAAGTTGTCTTCTATGTGCAAGAATGAACACCTCAAAAGAGGCAGCACAGGCTGTCCTCTTTGCTATCATCTCCGCTGCTACCTCCACTGTACAACAATCAACAGAGGACTCAGCAGGCACATTGGGTATCAGCAAACATATTTGCTAACTTAAGTTTGCCTTGTACCTGCAATTAAACAGAAAATAACCTCACCCTTTGCCATCCCATAGCGTGACATTAGAACTAACTGGTAGCAGAGACGCTCAGGGAGCTCAGGAGGTGTGATTAGCGGCTTGCTCTGTTCCTGCATCTCCACAAGGTGTCCCTCCATTCTAGGTCACACTCGTTTTGCCTTCCTTGCTGTGGGGCAGGGAAACCACAGCTGTCCAGCTGCCAGCTTTGGTCACTAGCGTTTGCTTTACTTTTCTCAGTGCTACTGGAACTTGCCACAGCAGAGGTGAGCACGGTGTTTTCCTCCAGGTGTGCAGTTCCCCTGTAATTGTGAACATCAGCACAGCACTCCTCATGGCTGAACAACGGAGCTAGGAAATGGCATTCTTTTGCCTCTCCTTTTTAAGATACAACATCTACCAGAAAACTAGAAATCTCTTGTTGGTCCTCTTTTCTGAGAGAGAAGACTTGCCTTCCCATCTCAGAAATTAAAAGGCAGAATACCCCTTGGAAGAAAACCAGCTAGATAGGAAAGACCTGCGTGCTACTTCTAGCAGTAACTTTCCTCATGGCCACTCTCAGTACGCTGCAACAGCAAACTTTTCCCAGTTTGAAAGAGAAATAACCAGCTTTGTTCTTGACATGCAATAAGCACACTAATGGATAGTTCACACAGCTAGTATTAGTAGCTAGTATTCAGTATTGAAACTGCTGAATTTACAACACATTAATTGCACCATGTTAGAAAGTCCTAATGAGTATCGAGAAAAACTAATTCACAATAGTGGCCATACAGGGAGTCATTTACTATAAATAAGAATTCGATGCACTTTGAAAGCACATAAAATATTTCAAAACAGGTATTTTTATGCTCAAATAAGGGCATATATGCAAAGGGTTGATCAAAAATCACCTTATTTTCATAAATTGGCATTCACGTTTAAATTAATATTTCACTTATATATGATTTAATAACCATGTGTAGATACACCCCAAATAGTTATTTTAACAAGTGACAAATAATTCCTGTCTCTGTAAAAATCCCACACTGTCTCAGCCTCAGATACACTGATTTTCTGTCTCAAGTATGCCAGTAGACGACAGAGAGGCTTTTAGCCCCATAAGTTAGTCTCAAATCGCCTCAATTCTGATGACTCCCCACTCACATTACACTAATCTAGTTCTCACCCATTTCACGAGTCCCTGACATATCAGTAGTAGCCAAAATTAGACCAAAAAACCCCATAAAATGAGAACATGCAACACTGTTGACAAATGAGTCAAAAAAATCCAAACTCCTGGAAAGTACCACATTATGGAAGACAGATCTTGGAGCTGGCATCCACGAGCAGCCTGTTATAAAATCTTCCTCTGCCTGTGTGCTCTGATTTCTCCTAAAGTAGTTTTACCCTTGACTTACATTTTCATCAACTGATTTCTGAAAGCATAAAGTTTTACTTACTCGTATGTAAAAAATTCTCACAATGTCTAGTCTTAAAAATAGTCTAGCTCTATCACTCCACTTTATTTGGCAAATTTAGGGTGATATTTTCCTATCAGTCAGCCAACATTCAGGCGTATTCTTTGTTACCAAGGTCTGCAGAGAAAAATTGCTAACATGGAAGAGAATTCAGCACTGAATATAGCCACATTAAATTATTTCAACAACAACAACAACAACAAAAGCACTCCTTAACAGCCAACAGCTTTTATTTATATGTCAGTACTCCTAATTCCAGGGGAGATAAGTCCATTAGAGAAAATTTTGGTAGAATAAACTTTACCAAAGTTGCTTAAACACAGCAAAGCAATTTTCAGACTCCAGAGTGGAAGATGGAAGGACATGTAAGCAGCACCGAGCTCCAGCCTTACCTGTGAATCTTACAGTGAGAGTGCAGGTAGGCCAGCCCCTGCAAGGCACGGGGGGGGGGGGGGGGGGGGGGGGGGGGGG